AAGTATTGGAGGAACACACACACCTCTCTGCCCAGTGTTGGCCATGAAACAGTATTTAGCCAGAAGGCAGCCAAAATCAGGGCCTCTGTTTGTAAATTCTGCGGGTAAACCACTTACAAAACAGGCCCTAACACTTGAAACAAGAAAATTACTCAGTCAAGCCGGATTCAACGCTTCAACTACGGCAGCCACAGCGAAATTACCTTCGAAATTATCGGTGCTGCAACTACGGCAGCCACAGCGAAATTACCTTCCTGGCTCATAAAAACTTTGGGTCGGTGGTCCTCAGACTGTTATGAACGATATATACAACTTCCTTCGTCAACACTGTTGAATGTCTCAGCCACACTCGCCAATATTTAAAAATTTATCTCAAAAAATTTAATCTCTGGTCCAATTTTCAGGGGGAGGGAGTTCGTCTATGGGGAATGTGCATGCTGCTCATTTGTGGGGATGGAGTGCTCCCATAGGTCACCCTCATCCCATAGACTCACAAATCGATGTACCATACATTAAAAATGTTAGATTGAAGTATATCATGCCCAACATGGGGACCCAGACCCCTGAGGGCATTAATTGCATTAGAGTCCAACATGGGGACCCAAACCCCCCGAGGACCGCCCAACATGGGGACCCAAACCCCCTGAAGGCAGTAATTACATTAGAGTCCAACATGGGGACCCAAACCCCCCGAGGATTGCCCAACATGGGGACCAAAACCCCCTGAGGGCATTAATTACACTAGAGTCCAACATGGGGACCCAGACCCCCTGAGGACAGCCCAATATGGGGACCCAGACCCCCCGAGGGCATTAATTAGAGTAACTGTGAGTCTGTTGGGACACTTTGACCAGTTGAAAGTATATATTCGGAGCATTTCTCCCCAACAACCCTTCTCCCACAACATTGTGTGTGCTTTACTGTCTCAAATATAGCTCTCTTAAATATTAACTAACCGAATTGAAGCATTAACTTCATATTAATATTCTCACAACATCCATTTTTCCTCAACTTTGGAATCGATCCATAAACCTCGCGACCTCGGCGCGTCACGTAAATCGGCTGTCTCCGATCGTTAGTGCTGCTCTTGTATGAATTCATCAACTCATCTGCTTCGTCACGATTAATCTGGTCCGGCAGGACGTCTCGCGTACTCTGATCGATTTTGCTCTGGTTGAGTATGTTGTCTTGAAACGTTTCTTCTCCTCGTACTCTTTCTCGTCTCTCGACGCAAGATCTCTCTCGTACCATCTTGAAATGTGACTTGTCTCGCATAAGAACTTTCCCGTCATCAGCGTGCGGGTCTCTCCCGAGTGCCCAATCTTATGTGCTTTCTCGACAAATCTTCTTCGACTGCTCAAAGGTGGAATTACTTTGTCCTTACACAGGATGATTTCTCCAACAACAGATAAGTCGGACGCTACCCTGAGGAATCTTCAAACTCTCGGATCTTTTCCGTGTTTCATCCAGAGGTTGCCTTGAATTACTTTGACTTACATTTTAGGAATTGGTAATCATTGTCGTCTTTTGCCATTCTGGAAAGGTACTCGTTGTCTTCAGAGACAAAAGTTCGTAATCCTTCTTCTAACTCGTTCACGGACTTCACCATGGGAACATCATCATGTCTCCTCGTCAGGTGTCTTGATCCATAATCCGCGATGTTCTCAGCTCCTTTCTGATATTTGACCACATAGTCTAAACCTTGAATGGCGAGAATTTGTCGCTCGATACGCAGTGGTGCTCTTGAGGTTGGATTGTTGAAGAGATGTACAAGTGGCTTGCAACTCAGTCTGTCCGTATCTTGTCTCAACGTCAGTTAGAGCATGGTTGGCTATGTGACATATTTTCCACAGTCCGTCGTCACCTTGCTGGCATAAAATGGCACATAATCCTCCAGGAACGTTGCTCGATTTCTCTGTTTTCTTTCCAGCATCTACGTAGATTCTTATCGGTCTTCCGGGAACAAAGTAGGAAAGCTTAAGGGTTGTCTGCTCCGTCAAACTGCTCTTCAAGCTATCGAAAGCTTCCTGTTCTATTGGTCCCCACTGGAAGGTTGACGTTGACTTCGTTAATAACTGTCGCAGCGGTAAGGCAATCTGGGCAAAGCTGGTGATAAATCGAGACATATATCCCACCATCTGCAGAAAGCTTCTTACTCCTTCTTTTTAACTGGGTTCTCCACATTCTTGCAACGCTTTCACTTTCGCCTTCGATGGTTTGATTCCTTCTCCCGTAAATCTGACACCATAGAACTCGATTTCTTCCTTTTCCAAATTCACACTTCTCCAATCTTAATGTTAATGTTAATCCATGGTCTTGCAGACGTGTTAGGACTAGGTCGAGTGTTCTGTTGTGCTCATTCCGATCTTTCCCACCAATTAGACAGCCGTCTCGATTACTCTTTACGTGAGGAAATTCCGCTAGAATCTCATTTACTCGTCTGTCGAATTCATCTTGGCTGGTTATCCATCCCTGTGCAAACGTTTTATGCTTCAAATTTCCCCAGGGCGTGGTCACTACTAGATATTTCTTGGAATCCTCGTCAACTTTCATTTAGTGGTAGCCAGATGATATAGCCAGGTCATATCAAGATGTTAAAACACTTTGCAGTCTCCAAACGTTGCCGACAATTCGTCTACTCGTAGACCAGGTACGATGCGGGTTTTCGATGCTCCTTCGTTTACCACTCGGAAGTCTGCAGTGATGAGAACATCATCATGTCCTTTTGGTGTGATGACAAGTGGACTGGCATATGAAATCGGTTCTCCTGGTTTAGTCCAAGTCATTATCCCTTCTTGACGTACTCCAATTTCTTCTTGGTTCTTTCTTCGAGATGGTGTGGTACAGGTCTTGGGGGTTGTATGACTGGTTTTGCATGGGCATTCATCTCGATATGAGTGAGGATTGGCTCTCCTGTTTCAGGATTCTTAATGTTCCTATGCCTTGGAACATCTTCTTATGTTTCTGCAAGATCTTCCTGAGCTCTTCTTGTGGTACTTTATCTTCGGGTTTACACTTTCTTTCTTTGTCATTGCTTTGTCTCGCGTCAACTTTCTTCACAAACTCTCCCTCAGCACTGTATTTAATCATACCAAGATTCATCAGTGTTCTTTCTGATAAAAAAGGGAATTTATGAATACCGTCCTCAATAACGTAGAGATCAGTGAGTATTTCTGCGTTCTTGTTTGACAACTTTGCATCTTTAATTGTAGCTATGACTTCCAGCTCTTCACCATTCAGGGCGTAGATCTTCTGTTTTGGTTTCTTTATTTGTTTCTTGATCTCAGGATTTGCTTCATGAATTTTCTTGAAATCTTTAACTGAGATTAGGTCGACATCAGCGCAGGCATCTGGATCAACGATAATCTTGGTTCCACAGATGTAAACAGGTAACAAAATGTTGCTAGTATTTTGTCCTTTTACTGCCCGTATGCCCAATTTCTCGCTCACACATTTGTAAAACTCAGGATCGGAATCAGAAGAGTCGACAGAATCTTGTTGGAAATCATTCATCACAGAACCACCATGCAAGCCAGCAGCTTTTACTTGCTTCGATCTGCTGTCGGGCTTTCTTGAGAAACACTGTGCACGGAAATGACCAATCTTTCGACAATTGAAACATTCTTTTTCGGCAGCTGGGCATGTAGAATGTGATTTGTCACGACCACACTTCGCGCAGGCCGGGTTTTGTTCTCTTTCACGTCATTCACGGGTTTTCTTGGGTTTTCGCGATTTCTAAACGAGTATAGCTTTTGCGATTTTCCTCTCGAGAATCTTTTATCAGCTACTCTTCGTACTTCGAGTGATTCTTTCTTAATTTCCATTTTCATTTCGTTTCTCTGTGCTAGCTTCGACGTCTTGCTTTGTAGTCGCATACTTTAAGAAGTCTTCGAGTGTCCAGTTGTTTTCTAACGCTTTCGGCTTGAAGGCTTTCGTCTTCGCACCTTATTCGTTAATATCAAACAGTCTAAATTAATTTCTTCGTTGTATCCGTGAAAGTCACACTCTTTAGCGAGTCGTCGAAGTTCGAGTTCGTATTGAGCAATAGATTGATTCAATTGTTGAACGGCTTTGTTAAATCTAAACCTCGCGTGCAATCTCTTTGTTTTTCGCAACGTATACATGCTCAATTTTCGCTATAAGCTACTTGTATTCGTCCAAGTCGCCCTCTGGTTCAGCTGCGTTCTCGTTTATCGAAAGGATTTTGTCGCCACCATGAACTAACAACGCTGCTTTCATATCGTCAGGCTTTACGATGTTGAAATATTTCATTTGAATCTCGAGTTTTCGTCTCCACAATTTTCATTTGCATGTGGTTTCTAATATGTCTTCGTCTGACTCGAATTCTTTGATTTTTAACGCCTTTATCATAACTCCTATTAAGCGGACACCCCTCTTTAACGGACGCGGACACCTTACTTGAGATCCCAATGGGCAAACCAACCTCTCTTAAGCGGACAGATGACAGACTGTCTGATAAAATGTATTCAATATTCGACAGTAAATAACAATTGAGATCAATTTAAATGGCACATTGACAGTGACACACCAACTTGGCGCGAAGACATCAGAGCCAAGATTATTGAGGAAGTGACGAACGAGGACGGAGGACTGTGAGACGCCAGCCAAGCAGCCGAAAGATATATGTCAGATCACTGATGATGACAACAAACTGAACGAAGATGATGAATTTGACTGATCTCGTATAACGAACCAGTCATTAAACCTTCCTCCGAACCCCTAAAGTTGTCGAGCGGCTGACAGAATTCGCACAATTTCGAAGTTTGGAAGAACTTTCCAACGTCATTTTTATGTAAATGACATTATAATGGGCTATAGTCTGTGTGAGCCTCGAAAGCAAACTTGTATCAATTCCTTTTTATATGACTGTGAGAGACGTATACATTTTCTAATGAACTTTTATGCACAAACACATTTTCATTTTATGCTAATTATTTGTTAGATATTTTTTACTGTTTTGATACTCAAATTACTCACCTTTGCCTCCATACCCCTTTCAAGCGGACACCCCTTTTAAGCGGACACCCCTTTTAAGCGGACACCCCTTTTAAACGGACACTTAGGCAAGGTCTCGAAGGTGTCCGCTTAATAGGAGTTCGACTATAGTACTATATACAAGTCTAATAACGTTCTGTTTTTTATGGGTTTTTTACTTTTTAACATATAATATATAATGCAACCAGAAAAAATAATAGCAATATACTGATTACTGGATAATCTAACTAATAATACGCTGCATAATCAGCTGAATAACTTAGTAAGTTCTAACTCAATGAGTTCTTAATATTATAAAACGTTCATAATATTCTCACAACAGATTCCTTGTATTTTACTAGCCTCCTCCGCAGGCATCTCTTAATCGTCGAGAACTTATATAATTTAGTTATTCAAATATTTTACCTCCCACCAGGGTGTGTTTGGAGAGTTTCTAATGTCTGTTTAGGTAATTCTACTTATTGTTGAGTTTGCGTTGCAGATTTCATGAGATCATACTTGTCACCAATCCGCATCACATGCAGAAAAATCAGAAATATTGTAATCTGCCTCATTCCATTCACAACAACTTGGCAGGTCTGTAAGTGATGCACCTATCAATGTTAAGCCTGAGGGGGCAGGGGGTGGGCAAGGGATGAGGATTTGAACAACTTTGCTTGCCAGACGGGAAGGATTTTGATGTTGCAAAATCACCCTAGGGTGAGGCAATTTTGAATAATTTTGACTCACACACAAAAGCATGGGGATGAGTCCATGTCACAGATCTATATAGATCAGTGGTCCATGTGGTCCAAGAAGAAAAAGGCATGTTTGCTATATCATAAATTTAAAGTATCTCAAGAAATAATCTTTGTTTTCTATGCATAGACTAACAGATTGTAAGGAAATTGCTTTTTACTTCACTATTCTAGCATTTGTTGACCATTAAAATTAAAGTGCACATTGTTTCTTGCCTCCTCTCTGAATTTTAGCATAAGATGCTAGTAAATAAATTAATGTTTCTCCTGTGTAGATTATTGCAACAGGCAATTTAATAGACTGCTTTGTTAAAGTACAACATGTTGCACATGAACACTTTGGGTTGATCAGTTTGATCAATGATCACAAATGCAATATATTAAACAAATTTTCCCAGGTGGGAGAATATTACCAGTTTTTGACCAAATATGAATTTCCTCAGGTAGGGAATATTACCATTTTTTACTAATGGTGGTGCCCCTGGGTTGTGGACTGTGGAGTTCATTAATTTTTGTCAGAAAAATGTCAAATCTCCCCTCAGGCTTAACATTGGTAGGTGCGTAAGGCATAAATACCAATCAGTCCAATCATAGCCTATCAAAGCGAAGATGGCTGTAAAACTCATTAGAATAACAATATAACTCAGTATCTATGTCAGTCAACATTTATTCATAAATCTGGTCCTTCACCATCACATGCATATTTGTATTTTTGCCCAAACCAATAGCAATGTTTTAGGAAAGTTAGTAAGTTACCTATCTGTGACTCGAACAATAGGGTAAATGGAAATTGCTATTGGTGGATTTGGCAAAAATACATTACACACGACAGTGAAGAACAGTATTTATGAATAAACGTTGATTAACATAGATAATGAGTTACATAATTTGTTTATATTATAATGTATATAAAATGAGTTTCACAGCCATCTTCCCATCGTCCATCGATATATAGGCTCTGGTTCAATCCAACCTCCAACAGCCCAAATGCGAATTCAAAATACGTCTAGCACCTACGTGTATAAAACGTCTAGTACGTGTATATTAATAATACAAAAACAAAGACACATTTCATTCATTCACAAACCTGCACAAAGATGAAGCTTTCTATTAAAATTTCTCAGATATTTGCTTGGTATTAATACATGCCTATCTTGAGTTGGCCAAGAAGTATGCGATAGTTCTCTCCTTAAGACACAGAACAAACTATAAGATAGTCGATTCATGACAAAAGTTCAATACATTTTCGTATTTTTCATATTATTTTCAAATAGACTTTTCATTATAAATTTTTCAAAATTTTATTTTAGCTTTCAATAGGGGAAATACTTCATGTAATGAAATGTCAGTGAACCTTAGTCCTGGTACCGAGTGCTCATGTCTGTCATGTGATTGTGTAGGGAGAGCTCGTTTCTTATTTCTGTTTCACTGTAGAGTGGAATTCTCACAAAATTTTGATAAAAACTTAGTTCTTTTTTACGCTATTCTCCTTAAAAATGACGGACCCAAGTAAACCACCATATGTACACTTTTTTGGAGTAATGGGAGCTACCTCAGCTATGGTTTTTAGTGGTAAGTTGAAATGATTTCTCGAAGTCTATGTATGTCGCCATCTTTGTTTGCTATTAAATAAATAAAAATGTGATATTTAGCTTTAGGAGCTGCTTATGGTACGGCGAAAAGTGGCACAGGAATTGCAGCGATGAGCGTGATGAGACCTGAACTGATCATGAAATCTGTGATCCCAGTCGTTATGGCTGGAATTCTCGGGATTTATGGCTTAGTTGTGGGAGCTCTGATCGGAAATGGCAGTAAGTCGTTTCGACTTCGAACTTTATTGATTTATATTCACTGTAGATGTATGTAGTTTGATAGCAAAAACAGTATTTCATTCCTTGTAGTCACTAGTTGTTATAGATGAGAACAGCATGTATAATTTTTTCCTCTTAGTCATATAAATCGAGTATTGTACAATTATGTTGAGTGGAATGAGTGTCACATGTCGTGTGTTATGCCCCAATAATTATAAAACTGTCAGAAAGTATAAATTATGAAATATACTGAGGAGGAAGGTGAAGGTTTTTATGCTGGAGTTTTTGCTCTGATTGAACAAAGTAATTTCATTGAATATTTTTTAAACCAAACACTACGCTGCCATGCACATGAACAGCAGATGTTAATTTGATGAATAGTGTATATTTCAACATGCACTTCCATTTTCAGAATTCAATTCAACAGTTCTATATTTTCCCTTGTTTTGTCACTGTTTATTTGCTTGTACGCACAAGTGCTGTGTACTCATGCCTATGTTCAAGTTGTGCAAGAGGTTTTTCCACTTATTAATAATTAAATTATGAATGCATCTTTTTTTATATGCCTTATTACAGACAAAAAAATATGGCTGATTAGACACAATGTATCACAGTGGCTTTTAATATGTCTTGGAAGATGCTTCCAAACCTTCATTCCCAGACAATGATTTGTCAAGAAGATCCCCTTCTTCAATCATCTCAATTTCAATGGCAAACCATAATTTCTGCCATTATACTGAAATTATGGATTTTTAGAATAGAATCCTAAAGAATACCATTGACTATGTATTGTCAAAACAGCTCAGTTCTATAAAAAACATTACCAACAAGCATGGGCATATAAGATGGGGGCAGGGAGGGACAACCGTCCCCCCCCCCCCCCC